CTCTGCAAATCCCAAACTTGTCTTTGGGCAGGGTTCTCTTGCCAATACACTTCATCAGGTGCACCCACTGAAGACAATTATTCTTTCTAAGCATTTTTTTTTTTTTTTTTTTAAAGGTTGATTTTTGATAAATTGAAGAGTGGTACTTCAAAAATTCGGTGACAAAAATAGGTCACTAGGTAATGTTTTAAATGAAATATTTATTTAAATAAACTGCAAGAAGTCAGTAGCACAGGTTGTTATTAATACATAAATATGCATCAAAAGAAAAACTATTTTACAACAAATAAAAAAATAAAACCCTTTGTATAGCAGAAAAAAATGGCCTTTTTAAAATATAAGCAAGTAATGATACTAGCCAATAGTAGCTTCAGTAATACAGATATGACAGTGGACTGAAAAGTTCATAGTCTGATTATAAATTATTCACAGCTAGAGCATCACTCTTTCATTGTCGGCCTATGAACTTTTCAGCCCAACCTCGTACCTGGAAAGAAACAAAGCAGTTATTAATAACTGCCTTGCTTCCTCCCATGAAATTAATGCATGAAAGATTTCACAGTTTTAGCATCGTTCCTTCAAAGTCAACCTGTGAACCTTTCAGCCTACCCTTGTAACTGGAAAGAGACAATACAGAAGAATTGAAATTAATGCATGCTAGATTTCAGAGTTGTAGCATCAATCCTACATAGTCAACCTATGAACTTTTCGGCCCACCCTCCTAATGTCAAAAATGCTGTCGATTGAAATCTCACTGTCATTTAGTAATGTGTGATTATATATGAACTGAAGCTTGAAATAACGGTACAGTAGGAAAAAAAAGTAATAAAACTAAGAGACACACAAATTCTTCCATCAAATATACATGTATAATTATTATGAACTGATGATTCTACTGAACATAAAGTGGGGTACCTGTTTTCTATGTTTATTAAGTAAGAAACTGTTCCTTCCAGAATAACTGTATATATCAATACAATAAACGGAAAGAATATATTTAAAAAACTCACTTGTGAAAGGTAATAATCATTATTAGGTAATAACAAAATACACCATCATCTTTGGATTAACAAATGAGGTTTTTATATTTTCTTATGTGTGTGACATCAGAAGTTACATCTTGTGTGTGATGATTGAGGTTATATTTTTATGTCTTATTCATATTGTGCTGTATCAATGTAAATGTGTATATGGCTATATCAAATATCTCAGGGAGTTGAATGTTGCTGTGTTGTATAGTTCATTATCCCTCAGCAGGTTGAAAGAGAGGGACTTGAGTGGGGGTAATTATCATGAAAAAAAGACTTATGAAAAATTTTGACTTTTGTGCAAACCAGATGTATCAATACAAAAATTTAAAATTAACCTTTAAACTAAAACCAAAATATTCCCCATTAAACAAATCATTGTATTAATAACCTTAAAAATGAAACAATCACAACTTAAAGCCAACATTGATTTAATATGCATGTTATGACCACTAATAATGACTGTTTAAAGTTGATATTTATATTTTAATAGCTTGTTTCATTTTCTGGGTCCCTCATTGATTTAAAGAATACAGAAATTCCAATCTGGGTGAAAGGCCTCTGATGGGGAGATTGGAGGTTTTGAGGAGAGTGGAACCACCTCTTAATTGCTTTTGTTCCCAGTCCACCCTCAGTCGGGATGGTAGCACTTTTTAGGGTCCCAGCTATGGGCAAATAGTGACCCCCCCAAAAAAAAAAACATAAACTATGAAAGTATAAAAATACATTTTTATAGTAAAAAAATACTTGCGGTATATTTTATATAAAAAAAATAACAATTAATACCTATTCATAGTAAAATTATCAACATTACATATTTATAGCAGAATTACCTACAATACATTTTACCTGTAGTTGAAGGCATACAATTGTGTTCAAAATATTTAGATTTTGGCATTAAATAACCCATAGAAGTTGATATGCTGCTGGACAAAATCAACAGAAATTATATGAAGATTCTTTCATAGTTCTTAGAGTGAGACTAGTATTTCTCTTTTGAAATCTGTAGACATCTTGTAGAGAATAAGATCACAGCCGAACCATAATAGTGGTTTCAATGGTAAGTAGACATATATAGGGTGTTGCTAGCTCCATAGCCAGCAGGTTTCAAATATTTTTTTACATTAGTTCCCAACCAAGTTTATAGAGGTCAGTCTACTCTGCTATTTAACCTATAACTGATAGGTGAGAAGAGATGGATTCATGCCTTTCTCAAGGGCATTTGTGCAAAACTTGAACTTGGCTCATCAGTTCCAGATTTAGTTGAAATATAACTTTAGTTAAGCCAAAGATGATGCTTACCAGAGGATAGGTTAGGTTTAGTATCATGAGATATATTTGGTAACTTTAGTGTCATTTAGTATATATATATATATATATATATATAAATATATATATATATATATATATATATATATATATATATATATATATATATATATATATATATATATATATATATATATATAAATAAATGACATTAAACTTATATATATATATATATATATATATATATATAAATGACATTAAACTTATATATATATATATATATATATATATATATATAATATAAATGATAAACTTATATATATATATATATATATATATATATAAATGACACTAAACTTACCATATATATATATATATATATATATATATATAAATATAAATGACACTAAACTTACCATATATATATATATATATATATAAATAAATGACACTATATATATATAATATATATATATATATATATATATATATATATATATATATAAATAAATGACACTAAACTTACCATATATATATATATATATATATAAATGACACTAAACTTACCATATATATATATATATATATATATATATATAAATAATGACACTAAACTTACCATATATATATATATATATATATATAATATAATGACACTAAACTTACCATATATATATATATATATATATATATATATATATAAATTACACTAAACTTACCATATATATATATATATATAAAATTACACTAAACTTACCATATATATATATATATATATATAAATGACATTAAACTTACCATATATATATATATATATATATATATATAAATGACATTAAACTTATATATATATATATATACAAATAAATGACACTAAACTTACCATATATATATATATGACACTAAACTTACCATATATATATATATGACACTAAACTTACTCATATATATATATATATATATATATATATATATATATATATATAAATGATATTAAACTTACTATATATATATATATATATATATATAAATGACAAATAAATGACATATATATATATATATATATATATATATATATATATATATATATATATATATATATAAAATAAATGACACTAAACTTACCATATATATATATATATATATATATATATATATATAACACTAGTAAAAATTTTTTCTGTGGGGACATATCTGTAAAAATTAACTGACAAATATAATGGGTGTGCTTTTCATGTAATTTTAAATCTACCCAGTAATCTTAAAAATTTAGGAAAATATTCTTTGTAATCTAAAGTTTTATTGAATTTTAGGTATTTTGGCTTTAAATTTACTAGAGTTACTGCTCTTATTTTCTGATAAATTTGTGTGTCAACGTCTGTATTTACAAAAATCAGCATGTTTATACACACGCCAAAAAATGCAAAATTCTTTTTAAAATACTGGAGTTTGCTGAATTGTAGAAAGCTTTCCCTTACGATTATTAAATAGATTTTACGTAATTTCTACAAATTATTACATCATTTTAAAAGATCTTAAACTTTATAAATTATGCTAATTAAAATAAAAAAAAATTGAAAACCATTCTTCTAAAAATTCATTATTCATCGAAATTTTTTTTTTCTTAAGAAAATAGTATTTTTAATATATCTTATTTATAAAAGCAATTAAAGGCTCTTCTAATTAAACAATGTCTTAGTTTTATTGTTTTTTTTTTTTTTCATTTTACGATTTAGAGCAGATTTTTGGTAAGTAGTGATTATGTTTTACAAAAAACATTGATAATTTAAATTCTCCAAGGAGTTCTGCTTATAACTAATATAAACATTAAGCCATAGGAAAATGAATTTCTCAACATTTCATAAAATTAAATGAGTGGAGTGGGTAACAGATGTAAAAAAAAAAAAAAATTTTTACTAAGATTTTCTAAAAAAAGAAACATTTTTACAATAATTCATTTATGAATAAGTCATGAAAATTTTTTAAAATCCGGCAATTTGATTTTTGCAAACAATTCCAAATCGATCTTTTTTTCACCATAAAAAAGACGCTAAAATTCCCTTTACTAATTTATAGTCATCTACTGACGTAAGTTAAACAACATTTTTAAAGTTCAAAAAAGGATGAAAGAAATGTAATTTAATAATGAAAAAAACCATTTGGTCTTTCTTCTTAATTCTGACAATATATCACTGTTTATATATATTAAGTTTGGGGCATTTTTTCATAATGTATGGTCATTTTTTTTATTAAATCTTTGGAAGTACTTATATATTCATAAGCACTCCTATACCTAAAAATTTTGAAAAAGCAATAACGTTTTTGCTCTTGTATATAAATACTTGTCACAAAATAAAATCCTTACATTTGCCTTGATAAAATCCCTCAGAGGATGAAACACTCTGGCTAAGATAAGTTTCTCTTTTGTTTTTTATATATATATATATATATATATATATATATATATATATATATATATATATATATATATATATAAAAAAGTCTACAGAAAAAAAAACAAGCTCTTTCTTAAAACCTGAGTACAAGATTCGTTATCTTGCTATATAAGAGGTTAATTTTTTTTTTTTTACAATGTCAGTACCTGGTGGAGTTATCTCCCTTCCCCTGTATTTGAAAAGTACAGCAATAATCAGTGGGAAATATTAGACTTCCATCATAATATCTTTCTTTTTCTGATTGCAGGTACAATGAATATAGAAATGCCATCACTTTCACCAACAATGACAGAAGGGACAATAGTTAAATGGTACAAAAAGGAAGGTAAGTCTATATGTATATGACGTGTATGTGGCATTTGTTAGATCTCATAAGGCCATTGATCTGTGCCTAGAAAGTCTTCAGTCTGAGTTGGTAGAGCAGCATCTTTTGGTGATGGGGAGGCAACAGTATTAAAAGCATGCTGACCTATTTCTGAGATATCTCTGTTAACACTGTTGTGCAGTTCTGAGTGATTTTGTTAATTCCACTGTTTTACACCACTACATCATAACTGTCACTATACATTCATTATATACTTTAAAAGATGTCAGCACAGATCCTGTGATTAAGTAGCAAAAACAAGAGGCAGATAGGCACGTATTAAAAAGAAAGGATAACTGATGGAGCAGAAGGTTGGTTGAATTGTGTCCAAAAGATAGCCCATTTGTATGGGGTATCTGCTTTGTCAATGATAGCAAAACAAAAATTACATTATTCAACAAATATTTGAAAATTGGCTAGTAAAGAAGAATTTTTGTTAAATGGGAGTCTTATTTAAATAAACACATTAGATCATATGTAAATATACAAGGCACCCTTACTCAAGGTTGCCACTGACCAACCAATATGTTACATTTTGATTCTTAATCTCATCGGTGTGCACTGAAAGCTGGGAAAGGGCCTGCTGCATGCTCACAAAATAACAAGATGAAAGATGCACACGATGTTGAGGAATTAGAATGTAAACATTGTTTCCCATATTTTAAAATAGATATTTTTTTATTCAGGGCTCCACCTGTTCATCTGGGTGGGTAGGTAGGTGCTACTTGGGACAACTTCTGCTATATTGGTCTAACAGCTCTGCACTTCCTGCTAACAACTTTTTGCCCATCTTCTCATCCCAGTGTGGCAGCTGGCAATATGAATGGACAACACAGGAATCACATGTTCATCTCTTGCCAAGAGTAGACCAGAACTCTCCCTGATCCCAAGCATGAGTGTTAATATAGACCAGCACCTGGATATACTCTATTTCCAGTTGCTACTTGGTCTCCAAAAGCCGCTAATCCACTCCTTTACTCCCCATTCTCCTTCAGTCAAAGCTGTTACTCCTTAGAAGACTGAACTTCAAAAGGAACCATCCGCTGGTCTATCAAACAAAAATAGTTGAGATCAAGATAAAACCATCTCTTCACTTTCTCCATGGGTGCTCATAGTATCTCGCACACACACACACACATATATATATAATTCTCTTGATGTAAAAATAAATTTGTAGAATTGTAACTCCCTGAGATATTTGATATACTCATATACACATTTAGATTGATACAGTACAATATGAATAAGACATAGAAATATAACCTCAGTTGTTACACATAAAAACCTTAATTGTTAAGCCAAAGATGATGGCATACTTTGTTATTACCTAATAATGATTATTACTTTTCACAAGTGAGTTTTTAAATATATTCTTTCCATTTATTGTATTGATATGTAGTTATATGGTATGAATTCTTCCATCTTTTTAAGATTCCGCCATCATCTCTTCATAACAATTTTGACTTACTAAATTCCTTTGATGTTTTAACTTTTCAAACTTGTATATTCTTCATTTCCAGGTGATAGCATATCTCCAGGTGATGTTCTCTGCGATATCCAAACAGACAAGGCAGTCGTTAGTATGGACACAGAAGAAGAAGGTATTTTGGCAAAAATTATTGTGAGTTCTTTTTTTTTTTTTCATTTATACTTTTTGCACATTTTTGACCGGCCCACTCTTCTCTCCATTGTTAAACAGTTCTACTTTTTATGACTAAGTTGTTGCTTTTGTGAATTCTAAAAAAGGTTAGCTCTATGATTCTAGGCTCTCTGCCAGTTATTGAACCCTGCCCATCAATTAATGTGGAAAAGCATGGCTTGCTAGTTTAGGCTTCATGTGGCAGCTTGAAATGAGCCTCAAAAACTTTCCAAAATCTCTATTCATGAAATCAAACCATGACGTGAATAATGCATATATTATAATGAGAACTCTTCAACAAGTGCCACTTTCACTTTTAAAAGCTGTCTCTTTTTGTGTCTGTTTGTCTATCTGTCTCTGCCTCTCTTTTTCTCTCTCTCTTTGTCTCTGTCTCTCTTTCTTTGTCTGCCTCTCTCTCTCTCTGTGTCTCTTTTTCTTTCTCTGTGTCTCTTTTTCTCTGTCGTTCTCTCTCTCTGTCGTTCTGTCGTTCTCTCTCTCTGTCATTCTCTCTCTTTTTCTGTTTGTCTCTCTGTCTGTAATTTTTTTTATTGGACATAAATGCTTTGAATGGATAAGATCTTCATTTATTCCAGAACTTTAACTTATCAAGTTTTCTTTTATTTGTTCTAACATGGTGATTCAATTTATTTACAATATAGCTTTTAATGCTAAACTGGGCCATTACTTTATGGCTGTCTTTCTTTTTTTTCCTTTTTAGTTCTGCAAGTAGCAAGCTTTTTTCGTTAACCCATTATGCCTATAATTTTTAAAGTACAAAAGCCTAAAAGAGCAAATAAAACCAGCTATTTTTTTTTCTTTTTTGGAACTCAGTTTGTGGCATTATGAAAGCTATGACTCCAAATTAGTAGCTTCTCCAAGCTATGTATTAAATAGTTGTGTAGACTGAGGTCTCTAGCCTTAGATAGCAGCAAGTCTAGTAGTAAGACAACTCTGAATTCAATACCATGGAGAAGGCAATGGTAAACATCTACACTGTTTTTCTATGAAGTCCTGACTATTTACTGATAATAAAAGTCCTGATTGCCTACACTCTAGAGGGACACAACATTTTAAAAAAAATTATTTTTAGCAAAAAAAAAAAAAAAAAAAAAAGGGGTTCATTTTAGGCTTCCATACATTCAAATTATGCGTATATTTATCATAAAATCAGGGTCCCGTTTAACATTGAATTTTTATTGTAAATCCCATATTAACTGCCATGAAGACACAGAAAGTAAGGGTTCAGTTTTGCATTATACATATATTCTAAATCAGGCCTCCATTTTTGATTGACTTTAATTCCTTTCACTTTAAAAGTTATTTTTTTCTCAAACATGCAGATATTTCCCAAAGAATTTAAGATCATCTTCAGGCAAAGCAGATTAAACTATAGAAGAAAAATATATTTTCCTACAGCAAATGTGATACTTCATTGAACTGAATACTAGTCCTAATTTTGTTGTAAACTAAATTTACTTGAGTAATTTAAGATAAAAGCTCTGAGATTCTTTTTTTTGGTTAATGTTTAAGTTCAAAGTTGTTGGTGAGGCTTGATATGATTTGCCCACCCCTCATTTTACTGCTATAAAAAAAAAACTAAAGTGGGGAAAATTTCTGTATCACAATATTTAAATTGTTTTTCTCTCAAGATATTTTGGGAGAAATTATTTCATCAAATAATGATAAACAATAAAAACACAATATTTTTGCTGCTTTAGACATACTTATACATCTTTGTGAATTTTACATTGTCTGCTGTTGATGTAGATATACATTTTGAAGACACTGTAAAATGGTGGTCCCTAGGATTTGTTATAAACTAAGTAGCACTTAATGCTATTTTCAAATCATAGAATAATGTTGTAGGCCTATAGTAGCATACAATATAACCTGTTTTGCGACCTATTTTTATATTTGGGGTGTTGTTTAGCTTAGTCTTGACTGCAGTGAATCTGACTGGAACCAAAAATGCCCGTGACAAATTACTATCAGCATCGTTATAGTCATTTATTCCCAGTAAATGGCAAAAATGGGTCAGTACAGCCAGGCAACAATTTCATTATTTGTATGTGGACTAGTGTCTAAAACTTTGTTGTTATCACAACATTTCAACTATGCCCTTTGGCCTTCATGTACATGTAAATTGGGAGGTAGACTGTTCTCATTCTAGTTCTTATTTAGTACTGCTCATTTATTGCTTGTCTCATTTCCACTCAGTCCAGGTACACATGGCCTGGCCCAGGGATTGAACTCACAATTACTATCACCAAATTCATGAACCAACACTTTAATCCTATTGCCCCATGGAACAATTCTGAGTTGAGAATCTGAGATTGAAACTAATCTGCTTGCTGATGAGTGCTGTTACTTGTTATGCTTGATTGCACTTACTGAGGTTTCTCTTTTTACTGAAAGTACGTCTTCAGTTGAAGCCTGGTTGCCATTTCTGTTGAAATGCCTTGTTAAAAACAAATTTTTCTTAAATCTAACATGAATCTGTTATTTAATATGTGAACATTTTAAAATAAATTTGCAAACTCTTTCCAAATATTGATTAATTTTTTTTAAATTTTTTTCCAAGATAAAAAATTAAAATCTTAGATTAAGCCATGAAATAAACTTCTCAATGTACATTTGTTTTCATTCTGCAAACTTTTCCAATTTGGTTTTGTAGATGCCAGAAAATTCCAAAGATGTCAAAATTGGAACTTTGATTGCTTTGATGGTAGATGAAGGTGATGATTGGCAGTCTGTTAATGTACCTCAAACAAAAGTTGAACCTGTTCAGACTCCTGCTGCCTCTGCCCCTGCACCTGCCACAGCTCCTGCTGCAGAACTATTTCGTAAGTACATTATTTGGCATAACTCAGGTATTCTCTCATCTTTCCCAAAAAATGAAGTTTAGTGATATTGCTTACACTTTGGAGAAACCGACAACTTCATTTTATCAAGATTCACAAACTCTTTAATTGGACAGCTAAGTTCGAATTCCATTCAGATTTATTACCTTCAATTATGGGCAAATACTCTTGTGAAAGGTACGAATCCATCTCCCAGCTATAGGTTAAATAGTAGGACTTGTATCTATAGAAATCATTGTTATTCTTATAAATTGTTAATGCAATATTCACTTGCCAAAAAAAAAGAAATATTCTTACAATCTAAAATATGTTCCAGGGTTGATAATCTGTAAAAAAAGAAAAAAAAATTAATCCATAATAAATTCTTCAAAGGTTGTGTTGTTGGTAGGAATTTCTCATTCTCTTATTGTTTTGTTGACAAAAAACATTGCTTCATACTACATATTTTTTGGAGGCACATTTTCTTTAATAAGACTTTCAATCTCTAGGCCAGTAGATGTTAATTTCACTATTTAAAAAAATAAATTGATGTCTATTTAAAAGCATATACCTGCTAAATGTAATATTTATAATTAGATATATTTTCTTAAATATATTTTTTCTCAAGTGCCATGTTCCTCTAGGATGTAGGGGATTATGGCTCTCCATATCTTCTTTTTATTTTAATATCTGTAAACTATGTATTACCATGATTGTGATTGAGAAAGATAATAAGTGCTTTTTTTTAGTTTTGAATTCAGAGTTTATAGTAATATTTTACTACAAAATAGTGCTGAAAAGTTCTTGGCTTGATCCACTTTCTAATATATGAGCAAATGAACAAATATCTAACTGGTTGCCAATCAAGGACTGAGAGCCCTGCTCTGTTAATTAAGTCCTAGATGAAGGAAGAAGAGATCACATCATGCCTTTTCCAAATGGTTTCGGATGGAATTTGAACTCTGCTAGTTAATTTCAGTTTCTGTAGCATTAGAGAATGATTTTCACATATACTCTTATTTCATATTACTATAAATGTTATATTTATTGGATACACATGTTTAAGTAGGTTTTTTTTTTTTTTTTAAACAGTGAAATTAATGTCTACCAGTCTAGATATTGAAAGATTGATTAAAGAAAAGATACCTCCTGAAAGTAATCAAACTTGTATTCACTTTATAACCTGGGAACCATCTTCAGGCTGTGTCCTTTTTGTTGACATTAAGCCAGAAGCTGTTAAAACTCAATCTTATTTAAGAAATGCACAAGACTGTGTCATTCCATAAAAATGTAAACAAAACCAAAGAGTTTAACATTTAACTGCAAATAATGCAAATTCTGTTGATTTTATGATCATAATTCTTATGTGAATATTAACCAGCATTCAAAGAGCTAACTCAAAACCTTTTTCTTTTTTTTTCTCTCTCAAATAGGATAATTAACTTTCCTCTGTATACCCTCAGCCTAACAACTATGCTCCTGATACTAACTCAAATGGAGGTAGTCCTCATGTATATGAGTGAGCATGCCTTGGTACCTTAGATCTCTGACTGGTATGATGTTGCTAACCTAAGGATGACTTCTGTTGCCCCTGAACTCTAGGTGGATGAGGCATACATTCAGAATATTGCGCATGAATCTTTCCTGGGTTAATAAGGGTGCTGGAGGTTTTGTGGGGTTTTGGTGTTATCCACCAGATAGTAACTTCAAAGGAGGCAGGTGTATAATATTGAGTCTATTGTACTGCCATTTTCTGAATGGTTTCTGGATCATGCAGTAGTTTCTGGTGGGGACTCTCAATGCCATGATGATGGGTACTGTTACGGCAGTATTTCTGGGCGAGTCAACCCAGATTATTTATGTGTGCATCTCCAGTGGGTGTCTGTTCCATTACCTACTAATCATCCACCAAACCAACCATGAAAGCAATCAAATTGAAAACAAACAAAACTATTAAACCAAATCTCAAAAAAAAAAAAAAAAGAAAAAAAGTCGACCCCAGTTATACCATGTAAGGGGTTTGTATTCCAACTTCCTAGAAATGGAACTCAATCTTCTTCATCCTGAACCTGACCTATTCTTGTCTGAAGCAGGTATCAATGCTTCAGTCCCATTGCAGGAGCTCTCAGTTCCGGGTCACTCACAATTTTTTGCTATGTGGAGGCTGACTAGGACAGCTTTTGACCCTATATGATGGATGCTCCTCTCCCAAACTTCTTCAAAAATGCTGCCACCAAAACTGCTGCTCTAATCTCTGAATGGATCCTCTCTAGGATGAAGTGTTTTATACACCACAAAAAATTCAGAACCGCTGCAATTGCTGTAAGAGATTCCTGGAAAATGCAAAGTTTAGCTATGTGCGATCTGTCCAGGCCAAGGTTGAAAATAAACAAATTGGATCTCACGAATTCTGGAAGATCACCAACCAGTTTATGAATAGAGGCAAAGTGCCCACTATTATAAATGGCCTCAAGGTCATATCATCCTTGACAGACAAGCCGAAGCTCTTCACGTTAATCTTGCCTCAAACTCAATGTTAGATGACAGAGGCTATCCCCTCCCCAAATTCCCACATCTCACTGACCATAATGTCAGTAGTAGCTCCAACCCCTCAAAATCTGTAGACATTATTTCTTGTTATTATAAACATGTATTGCTATAGTTGGCCAATCGTATTTGAGGATGCCCATCTACTAGCCAATCCCTATTGCAGATGCTTGTTCAGGTGCATTTGTGTTTATTCAACACACACAGAGCCCACCTGTGGTTTATACTGTAACTATACTCAGAAGACCTTAGTTACAGTTTCAGGGAAAGAGCGTATTATCTAGCGTGATCAACAATTTAAACAAGGCCAGCATGCTCAAGCCCTCGGCCATCACGACTTCTGACTTCATGCTACCACATCTATTGCCGGCACCCAAGAGTTCTGTCTACCCAATTTCACTCACAAGGCTTGGGTCATACCCATGATATGGTTTTCAAGCACTTTCCAAGGTGCTGCATGCTGAGGTTGACCTCTCCAGTCCGAATACATCAGGAAGTCTCCTTCCTAACAAATCGAACCCAGGTCTCATGGTCAGAATGTGAATGTTCTAACCACATGGCCACATTTAATGCATATTTCATATTTACACATGTTTGAGCAGTTAGGCTTTTTTTTTTTACACAGTGAAATTAATATCTACTACTGGCCTATAGACTGAAAGTCTTATTAAAGAAAATATGCCTTTTGACAGAAAACAAACCTGTATTCCCCTTTTACATAAAAGATCACATGGAGCAAAATCAGTTAGGGAGGTTGGTCCAGTACAGCGATCTTCTTGGCCAGGAACTGCCGGATGCTCAGGGCATTGTGAGCCACTGCATTGTCGTGGTGAAGCAGCCACGATTTGTCCTCTTGCAAAAGCATGTTAAAAAGAAAAAAAAATGCAATGGTTGTAGAAAGTTAAGATTACAGTTATATATACTCCTAAGATATTATGTTAGATGATAACACAATCTGTTTATCCCTCTTTTGCCCAGAGCTTCCACAACATACCAAGTCCTGTTACTTTTCAGACAGACCTTGTATACTATTTTATATTAAATATTTAATCAATAAATCATTGAATAGACTTACTGATTGACCAACTCCAGAGTTTCATGTAAATTTTCTCATCAGGATTAGATTGTTTGATAAACCTGCTGAAATAATTACTAGATCTCATTTATACTCTGCAAAAATAAACTCGGATTATAGATTTCAAATTTGAAATACATATTGCACTAATGTTGCTCTTGTTATCTGTTATGCATATTTTTTTTTTTTTTTTCAAACTTCTTCTAGCCTTAAAATATATCAAATTGTAGTAAATTTTATATATTTTGATCGGTGTCATTGAGTTATTATTTTAAAATATTTATCTATTTTCTTTTTCAGATGGGATCAAGATAACAATGCCATCTTTGTCTCCAACAATGACTGAAGGAACCCTTGTGAAATGGCATAAAAAAGAAGGTAAAAACATTTAAAGATCTTTTTTCAGTTTATCTCTGTCACTGGAGATTAGAATCCTAAAATGGAAACATTTCTTTCATTTGAGAAAAAATATCAAGCTGTTTGTAGTAATCTCATAATACACTTTTTCCAAAAATGCATTGCTATAAAAATGTTTATACTCTCATAGTGTTTTGACCCCAATTTGGGGGTTAACTATTTGCTCATAGCTGGGACCCTAACAGGTGCTACCACCCTGTCATCCCTGTTTATTTAATCATCTGAGACATTCATTGAGCTAGAACTGGTTTTTAATTTGTGGTTTTTCTGTCTTTTTTACATTTTAAAAATGACACTGAATTTTTTTTCTTTTATTGAATATCATCTTTTAATGAATATTGTTATGAGTTATTTTTCACCCCTTGCCTGTATTATAAACATCTTGGAATAGTGGGGTTTTAAAAAAAAACAAACAAAACAAAACAACACTGCCACCTGGTATCACCAGTACAAGGGAGATAACTTTTATCCTGTAGTAAAATGTTAGACATTACTGACAGAAAATATATACAAATTCATTGGGGATATTACATTTAGATTATTTTGAAAAATCTGATATTTTGTATTTCATTTTGAAGTAAATAAAATATTTAAGAAAAACACCTTGATAAACTTTAAGGTGTTAATTTTGAAAATTTTCTGAAAATTTGATTATTTCTTTACTGTGTCCCTAAATACTGTTTGGGGTGTCAGAGTTTCATTACTACTTTTTTTTTTCTCTGCCTTTTACTTCTTCATGTCTTTGATCTAACTAACATGACATTTCAACTAATTCATTGGCCTTCATCAGGTGTTCTCTCTGTATAAAAATGAAAAAATCTTTTGGCAGTGTAAAAAGAAAAAATGAAAACACCAACAAATGAAATGAAAAAAAAATTAGTCTAAGTATAAATTGGAGTAGATAGTTTTGCTTATTGTCCGGTTCACACTCCTCCCCAGTCTTCTTCAACATTATATTTCTAACGTCTCTGTCTGAACTCTGAAATTTTACTCACTAATTAAATCTTGACCTCTTTAAGTCTAGAGGCAGCCGTTATCTTACCTGCATAGCTCCATGAACTTCACTTCTTGCCCTTTCTGTCCCTTTGTCTGGGATGCAAATATCCAGTATGCAACTGTTGGTTCACAAAGCTTATATATGCCAACTCCTTTAATTTCCTCATTCTCCAACAGTGTCTGAGCAGGACCTCACTTGGTTTGTAATTGGTTTGAAAAATTTGTAAAGAATTCACTAGTGCTTCTCTCTGTTGTGTGTGTTTATATGATGTTTTTCTTTTTAATTAACTTATTTTTCTTCTTTAGGTGATGTGATAGCTCCAGGAGACCTGCTTTGTGATATACAAACTGATAAAGCTGTTGTCAGCATGGATGTTGAAGAGGAAGGAATTCTTGCCAAGATTCTTGTGAGTCCTTGTTTGGATATTAAGAGAACGTAATGTTTTGAATTTCTGTATATGTGAAGGCATCTAGAATATTTGTTATTTAAAGTAAGAAATGTTAATTATTTTTATTAATATTTATAATTGTGGTTGTCCCTCCCTTCATTAATAGGTAGGTCTCTATTGCAGTGTGATATCACAACCTCCCTTGAACCATTTGAATTGAAGTCACTCAATAATACAGAGAGTTGAGGATTCAAATGTCTTGGATCTCACATAATAGATTCCCAAAAAGACTTCAGCATCTGCAAAGCTCTTGCATGGGATGCGTGTAACAAACGTCACAAGATTTGGTGTTTGAACCTTCCATCCTCCTTAAATGTCCAAACCTTTCAAACATTGATTGAACCAGTCCTGCTGTATGGAAACATGCACATTATCTGTTTGTCTTGAAAGATCACTGGTTGCAACATATACAACACTACAAATCCAGAACATCAATTAGTAATCCCATGCAATGTTTGACACAATTTGTGGAGAACTCTCTTAAGTTCAAACAAAAATGATTACAGTTTGCTGGCCACTGCCACCTAGCGGACAGGGATATTGTCTCATGCTTATTCGTATGGCATCTTTCTGAAAGTGACTTCTCACAAAAATTGGCTTTCTCAGACACCATAGCTCAGGACTCAGGGTTGGACATTGGGGATCTGGGGACAGCAGTCCAGGACCAAACTGTGGAAAGGGACTGTGAATGGAGTTCTAACGAACTATAGGGAGATCAAAGGATGATGATGAATATTTTTGTTTTCTCAAGAATAAAAAAAATGTATAAATTAACTTTCATATGTTTAGGTTTCTTAAAATACTAATCATTGCTTTTTAAAACAATAAATATTGCCAAGGAGTGAAGCTAGTTAAAATAATAGCAATGTCAAGGGAAAAACTGTCCTTTTGACACACCTTTTTTTTTGCAGGCACAAAAGTTAAAAATTGCCAAATATATGATAATGGTTTTCAAGAAACATCTAGTATTATAGGATTCTTAGAAAAAAAATTGGTATTATGTTTCTGCCTGTAACCCATTAATGCCCAACTTGTCTAAAATATTTCTGTTTTTGAACACAACTCCAAGAATGAAGACCTTTTCAACTTAAATATGTTGCAGTATGGAAATTTATTTTTAGCTTCTAAAACATGTAAAGTATATGATGCGTTTGGCAAAGGAGGGGACGTATTCAACAAAACATTGAAAATTGCTTTTCTCACTGTAATTTATTCATTATATCATATCTAAGTATTTTACAAAAAACTAGAGCTGATTATAAAATATTTCAAGCTCAATTTAGGTTTATAGTTCGTAACCATGCAATAAGATGAGGTAACATAAACTGTAGATTTGTTTGCAGAATATCATTACATTATTGTTACATTGTGAAATCATTATGGTTTTTTGTCAAAAGCATTTTATTTTTGGTTGTATATTAATTAAAATATTTGGAATAGAATAGGATCATTCTAAATTTCAGAATTTTGCTATTGCTCATCAAAATGACTGGAATAAAGCGATCTAAAAACAACAATGGAAAAGAGAGGTAACAAAGTGTCAATGAAATAGCTCCAGTTTGTTCAACTTAGGAAACTTAGCATTGCAGCCAATGTATTCTAAAATGCTACCAATCACAAAGGAGAAAATTAAAAATACCTAACAACAAATTGAATATAGCATCAAAATTTATATCATTTTTATTTATTTATTATGCAACTAAATACATAATTGTCAACAATTTTTCCATAAATAAATTCTTTTCCTGTAATAAATTCTTGATAAATATTATTGTTATTATTTACCTTAAGTGTAAGGTAGTCCTACATTTACAATTCCTTACAGCTAACCATGAAAAGAAATGTTGATCAAACCTGCATAAAACCTTTAATTGTATATTGCCGCAAAATTATCAAAAGTTGAATATGCCCTTCCTCCGCTGAATGTGTCATAATGTTTAAATATGTTATTTATATTCCAGGGGATGGTAGCACCTGTTAGGGTCCCAGCTATAGGTAAATAGTTAACCCCCAACCCTGGGGTCAAAATACTATGAAAGTATAAACATTTTTCTTGTAAAAATACTACCAGCAATGCATTTAAAAAAAAAAAAATTACCAGCAATTCATTTTTTTATAAAAGAAAATACTAATGCTTCCAAGAAAATTAAATTTTGTCATTAAATGATCCATAAAGAGTTGATATGCCACTAAACATACTCAGATACTCAGCTGGGAGTAATAGTGGGGACAAGATCCCACTCTATAAAATACTTCCATAGCATGTATCTCAAATAACCTCTGAAAACTAAGTCCAGCTCTAAGCTGGAGCATAGGTGAGGGCGGTAAAACTTGTACCTCAAAACTAGATACTTTGGGTAAATGGAGTTTGGCAACCCTGGAAGGCAGTCCATCTAGGGGAAGAAAAACCCTGATTTTAAGCCTCCGTTGTCATGCGATCATCTCCAAACATGGAAAAGGCTATGGAAGTAAATCCAGACAGAAAACCCAGAATGGAGCCCTAAAGGAAGTTGGCTGTTAACACTGGCAACTCCTGCAGCCAAGCCGTCCCCAAATATAATGCCCTGTATTCCTTTGGATTTTTTTCATACAGAAGAGAGGGTGTGGGAGCATGTAACCTGGGCAGTGCATGGCCTCCTTATACCATTGCCTAGCTCTGTGCTATGCTGAGGTTAATACCAGTTTCACCACCAAAGGACTGGCCAAACAGCGTATTATCTTTTATCTCGTAATATAAATGGATGTCTGCTGCAAGGAGTTTCTTAAAAAGTTTCTTACTTCTATCAACTTCCCAAAATTTGAACAAATAACCAAACACCACAATTAAAATTACTTTTCTTGGTTGGGCTGAGAATTTTTTCATGCTAAGCGTATTTGAATATTTGTTGTCTGTAATGCCTGATTTTTAGTATGCCCAGTTCCAGAGAATAACGAGTAATCTCCCTTGTATTAAAGACGCGAGATATCAATGTTTTTGTTACGACATTGGCAGAATGTTCAAAGATGTTTATCAAGCTTAGAGGTGCAAAAGCAGAGCATAACAATGAATAAATGGAAACAAATGCATTTAAAGAATCATATTTGAAAAATCTAATAATAATAATGACAATACAAAATATCCAGTCATTTTTATGGCATATGTCAACTTAGGAAGTGGGGGATTTATTTTCTATTGTTAAGTAATCCTCTTGCAGAATTACTACATATCAATGTAATAATTTGAAAAATATATTTAAAACAAACTTAAAAGCTGCCCTATCAGGCAACATTTAAGCTGTGGAAAGCTCTTCATGAACCTTTATCACAATAGGCAGGCTGGAGTAGATGTGATAGACAACAATAAACTACAGAAGAACTCAAAATTGATTGCTGCATTTAAGTATTGCATTAATATTTAAGCTTACCTTTTAAAAGTTTAACAATAATTCTTCTGCTGCCACTTAATTTAAAGAAAATTTGATAGGTCCTTTCCATGCAAACAATTATTTTTATTTCTTGAGTGATTTTCACTGGATTTTGCAATTGATTTTAATTATTCCCAAATTTATTTCCAAGTTATAAAAAATTGTTATCGTACAAAAACTTTTCGCAAAAAAATTACATTAAAAAAAAAAAAAAGCACCAAAAACTATTGCAGTAAGGAAAATTTGGGAATTCAAAATTTCAGGATTGTGGGTCTGGATCTACCCCAGAATGGTTTTAATTTGCTCATGGAATTGGCCTGATTTGAAAATGGTATGATATATTGGGCTACAGCCTCTAGGATTAAAATTGAAAAAGTGTGACACAGTGACACACTGACATTCGCATTTATTATATAGAAATCACATGTGAAAACTTCTAATAATAGTAAGAACATTAAAAAAAATGCTATCATTAAACTAGTATTAGTTTGGTATTGATATAAGACTTTACTGAACTTGTTAAGGGATTGTTTTTTGTTATTATGTAATAAACTTTTCCCTATAATTTTATGTAACATATCCTTTTAGCAATTGGGAGATCATGGCTCCCGACAATTTGCTATTTTTATCCATAATTACTACATAGTAATATGTGATATGATAAGAACAAATAGGAAACAGTTATAAATCTAACATGTTTCACTTTTATCAAAGCTTCATCAGAGAATGAAATATGGAGAAGAAATAAGAAAGATAAAAAAAATTCTCTCCATATCTCATTCTTTGGTGAAGCTTTAATAAAATGCTTCCTATTTGTTCCTTATCTTATAATTCTGTTGGATTCTGATATATATTTAATCTATATTTCATCCCAATTCATAGCAATATGTATAACAACCAAGATGAACATGCTGGGCCAAATAGCAAAGCATACAATGAGTATAATTCCTTGTGGGTATAACAAACATGAAGAACATGCTGGTCTGAATAGCAGAGCATATTATAGTGATAATTCCTCATCTCAAAAATACTGATAAAGATTATTAAATCAAAGCAAATGTTGTGATTATAACAACCAAGATGAAGATCTGAATAGCAGAGCATATTATAGTGATAATTCCTCATCTCAAAAATACTGATAAAGATTATTAAATCGATGTTGTGATTATAACAACCAAGATGAAGATGCTAGTCTGAATAGCAAAGTATATAATAATGATAATTCCTCATCTCAAAATACTGATAAAGATTATTAAATCGATAAATGTTGTGATTATAACAACCAAGATGAAGATGCTGGTCTGAATAGCAGAGCATATTATAGTGATAATTCCTCATCTCAAAAATACTGATAAAGATTATTAAATATTGTGATTATAACAACCAAGATGAAGATGCTGGTCTGAATAGCAAAGTATATAATAATGATAATTCCTCATCTCAAAATACTGATAAAGATTATTAAATCGGTAATTTGCGATGAAGAAGATGCTGGTCTGAATAGCAGAGCATATTATAGTGATAATTCCTCATCTCAAAAATACTGATAAAGATTATTAAATTGGTACGAGCCGAAATGTTGTGCATATGACTGTCAAGATGAAGATGCTGGTCTGAATAGTAAATCATATAATAATGATAATTCCTCATCTCAAAAATACCAATAAAGATTATTAAATCGGTACGAGTTGAAATGTTGTGATTATAACAACCAAGATGAAGATGCTGGTCTAAATAGCAAAGTATATAATGATAATTCCTCTCATCTCAAAATTTTGACAAAAATTATCATAGAAACATGTGTAAAACAACTATGTTTAATTATCAGAAAATCTTTCTTGTAGATGGATGATCTTTAATTGTGCAATCTGTGGCCAATTGTCTTAGAGTACTCATATTATTCATAAGCAAACTATTATCCTCATCTTTTGTTATTACAACTTTTCAGCCATTGTCTCCTCCTGCCTGCAGCAGTTACATGTCAATTCAGGTAATCAACAAGGAATTCCAAATTGAACCTGTTATTTCATCAATGGGGTAGACTGATCTCATCCCACTGCCAATATCTAGATATATCTTGTCTACTTCTTATCTTTAGTACTGCTCAGTTATTTCTTTCTCTCTTTCCACTAAGATCAAGTACACAGTACCCGACCCAGGAATTGAACTCACAATTACCATGTCACTAAATTCATAAACCAGTGCTTTCATCCACTAGGCTACCAAAGTCCTTATAGTACTTGGAGGTATCAGAAGAACAGATATTTTTCTTATTACTAATTCTTTTCTTTTCTTCATTGCTTTGGTTAGAAATATTTCTTAGCCATCAGTATAACCATCAAGCTATATATGAAAAATCTTGTGCATTATTATTATTATTTTTCTAGATGCCAGAAGGCAGCAAAGATGTGAAGATTGGCCAATTGATTGCCCTTATAGTGGAGGAAGGTGAGGATTGGCAGAATATAACTATTCCAGTAGAAGGTGCAGAAGATTCTACTCTGTCTCCTACTGCAGCGGCACCCCCTCCTCCTGCTGCTGCTGCTGCCGTTGCACATGGAGCCACCCCAGCAGTGGAAGCCGCTTCCATGGCTAAGATTGAAGCTATTCATTCTTTGTAAGATATCGCTTTTGTTATAATCTGAACTGATCATTTACCCACTTCTCTCTCTCTCTCTTTCCTGAGACCCTCCTTCAAGGTTACTTTTTAATTTATTTTTTTGTTTTCTTTTATAATTAAATTCTGGCACTTTAAAATTTTTTTTTTTTTTTGAATTCTGATAATATTTCTTTCTTTTCTTTCCTTTTCTGTTGGAGAATTATTAACCCTCAGTTTGATTTTTATATTTCTACAATTTGGGGATGGGTTTGGGGGTATGCCTTTACCTCACAAATAAAATGTAAAAATTACACCTGCCAAATTTGTGGATGTTGTTGTTCCAGCTGACTGCTTGACAAAGAATTAAAAAAAAAAACCAACGGGACAAGAGATTCTGAATAGTGTCCGTCTGGTGTGGTGAGAATTTGCATGCTTTTGATACATGGAGCAACAGGCAAAAGAATTGAACAGCAATGTAGGCAGCATTCATTTTTGGCTTCATTGACAGAATGATGGGGATTTTGACATCCAAGCCAAATTCATCATCCTTCGACCACCCTTTGGTTGGTTGAAACTCAATTAACAATTCCTTTCCACACTGTTTGGTCCTATATTGCAGTCCCCAGATCCTCAATGTCCAACCCTGTGTCCCGAGCTATGGTGTCTGGGGAAAGTTAATTTTTGTGAGAAGACACTTCCAGAAGGATGCCTTGGAATAAGGATGAGACGATTTTCCCTCTCCACTTGGTGGCAGTGGCCAGTAAACTGTGATTGTTTTTGTTTGAGCTTAAGAGAGATTGGTCTAAGTTCTTTGTAAGTTGTGTTAGGCGTTGCATGGGATCTCCAACTTATATTTTGGATTTTTCTAAGTAGATTTGTCCGGAAATTCAATTTCTAAGTTGGTGTGTGGTGCAGGATAATTTCCTTCATGGCTTGAAAGAAGTCTTTAGCCTTGGTTGGCAGTCATTCTGGACATGGTGTCTTGACAAAAAACTCCGGATATAGGGTTGCATCAACTACTAAAAGAACTATCACTCTCCCTTACCAATGCAAGCACATTAGATAGACATGAATAAGGAAAATACACTTGCAGATTGTGAATGTGGCTGTTCCAACAGACCACATGCAAAAGAGAAATGAGCCAACAGGGAAATAAACACCGGATAAAATATGTCTGGTGTAATGGGAAGAACTTTTTTTTCCCCATTTTCTCCCTTGGACTTGTGCAGTATTTTTTTAGGTTTTTGTTTTTGTTAATATTGAGGATCTGTTAGATATTTTAAAAAGTTTTTAATCATGAATTGTTATTTTCATTTGACAGTAGGAACTTGTATGAATGGTGTCTTAGTTTTTATGTTGATACAAAACTCCAGTTTCACCTGTATGCATTAATCTTTGAACCCTACATGCAAATACTGGTTTTATACTGCAAAAAAATGTTTTTATACTCTGATAAGAAAATTGAATGAAATTCGATCTTTTGTAATCAGATTTCATTGATGGACTCAAATATTGATTTGTTTGACTGACCACTCGCATTTCTTTTCTCCTTTTATATGTTTTTTTTTTTTTTTCTTTCTAGGACAGGAGTTGGTCCTTCTGTTAAAAAATTATTGGAGGAATATCATATCAGCCCAACAGATATAAAAGCAACTGGTCCAAAAGGCCATCTCCTTAAGGGGTAAAGAAACCTTTTTTCTTTTTCTTTTTGAATAATTTTATTCAAATTAACCTTTATTTCTCTGTATGTAACTTCATTTTCTCTGAAGGTGACTCTGATCCCTGAATTTGAATTTGTTTGAATTTCATAGTTGTTTTGTCATATCCTGCTATGGCAACAGAAAACACTTTTGAGTAAAATTGACAATAAGGTTACTGCAGTTGAGAGGCCTTGAAAAAGGATGCAGTGGAAAGGGAAGTAATATTAATGTCATCTGCTAAAGGTTAGCGAGTCAAGAAATGCATTTCTTGACTCGCATTCTGATATACCTTTTGCATGATTACAAGAATTCTTTTTGTTCCCTTTCTCTTTTTGGATTTAGTGCATGCAAGTACCTAGTTAACCTTTAGCACACTGCATTATTAATATTACTGTAGAAAAGAAGAAAGCAAAAGAAATGTTTATTATTCCTTTCAATCTTTGCTTTTCTACCCTGGACATTATTGTTTTGAAATTAACCTATTCAAGAATTTCTAGAATGTTCTGGTGACCTAGATTGCAGTATAAATACAAGGAATGTATTGAATCATATGTTGTTTTGTTCCTACTTTGTGTGAATGAGAATGTGAACATTCTCCATTTTTCCCAATGGGAATTGGTAAATTTTAAAAATATCACAAAAGTTTGAAGGAAATATTAGCCACCTTTCTTACTTTCTAGACATAAACAGTACAGGAAATAGCAGTTGCTACCCAAGGACAAAAATTGTGTTACACAGTGAATTTATCATTTAACAATTTTTTTTTTTTTTTTTTACAGAGATGTCCTGTCTGAGATTAAAAACAAGAATTTGAACAAAGTTGATTTTGCTCATCTACCTGTGGCGGCCCCTAAACCAGCAGCTCCTGTTGTGACTCCTGTGGCACCAGCACCCTCCAAACCATTAGCACCTCCACCTCCTCCACCCCCAGCAGCAGCAGCAGCAGCCACTTTTATAGACATCCCCACAACAAATATGAGAAAGGTCATTGCTCGAAGATTAACGGAATCTAAGGTAGGTGGAAGTGGAGGCATTCTTTTTAGCTTGCAACACGAATATTGTTTTCTTTTATCCAAAATGAGAAATTACAGTTTTACACCAAACGGTTACAAATAGTAATTAACTATAAAAGATAATTTTTAAACAAGAGTGTATGTGTGGAGTATTAGAAAAATGAATTATCCTATTTTAAGTCCATTGTATGTTTTGCATGTACTTTGAATTTCTGTTGATTATCTTGAAGGAAATGAGGCGGACATATTGAAGGAAGTTTTTTTTATTTTATTTTGCTTTTTTATTTTTTTGTTCTATAATATAGATTTATGTTGTATAGTAGCAGTTACTGTTTGCAATCATTTAGTGTAAAACTACAATTTCTCATTTTGGGTAAGAAAATATATTTGTCTGCTTTCTTGTTTTGCTTTTTTTATGTTTTTTAATCATTTCACTCCAAGCAAGGCAATAATGCCACTAAGATGCAAAGGGTTACTGGGAGTAAAAGAGAATGGGAAGACTTTAGTGAGGAGAAAGGACAATAAAAGAACAGGATTCAAAAAGACAGTTGGCAATTGATGTTTCATTTAAATTTTTAAAAATTGTTTGAAGCCGGCAGTAGAGTTCTGCAAGTGATTGTTAATGTAATATGCTTTTGATAAATGTTTATAGCAGGGATGTGAAGTCTGAAGCAATTAAGGGGTCACTGGAGTCAGTCTGTAAAACTATACAGACTCCGACTCCAGTTGAATTTACACTTTATGTAAAAAGTCTTATAGAAATTTATTGTTATTTCTTCTACTGTATATTTACTATTTCCTTTTCAACTTCTTTTTTAAAGTCATTTTATTTTTTGTAGTTATTTTTTATTTGCAAAACTGTATATGTAAAAACATCTTACATTGTAGAATTTTTATTTTTGTTATGTCTTTTTGTTACATCCTGTAAAAGATTATATTTCAATTTCTGTTATAAAGTAGTTTCATTTTTGTTCTGTACTTGTTTCTTATTTGCAAAGATATATATATATAAGTTTTATATTATAGCATTTTTATTGTTATTTCTTCTATATCCTTTCAAAGATTTTGTCTCTAATTCTGTTAGAAAATACAGAAGAATTAATAGTTATGATATAAAAGCTACAATATATTTATTATTTGATATAAACCAGTTATAGTGATATAGACCTACTCAAGTGGATGTATCGGCTTGGCCATGACCACTTAATCACATAAAGAGGAGTCTGAGTCAGTGGTGACAAAAATAGTGGAGTCGGAGTTATAGTTGGTAATATTGTTATTGATTGGCCCTCAAAGTACTTTCTCTGTAAGGAATTATGTTCTTTTTTAATTAGGGTAACATTTGTAAAATCAAAGTTATGTCCAGTTTTGTTCCTGTGTATTATGAGAGAGTTTGACTGGTTGTCTAAATGTAAATCCCTTTTATGTTCTTTGTGAAAGAAATGCATTTTTTATGATGTTTCATTTTTCAGACAACCATTCCACACAGTTATGGCTCTGTCGAGTGCAATGTAGGAAATGCACTTAAACTCCGAAAACAGCTGATAGGTAAGTATTAAATAAATGACTGTTGTTGCTGCATGGTGCTCTTGTTTGTAAATATGTAAGTATTTGCTGTTTCTATGAAACTGTGTTGAGAATGAATGGTGGGTCTGAGCCAAAAAGCACACTTAAAAAACTGGAAGTTAATTGATAAAATTTTGTTGGAAGAGTAGAAATCAGGATTTGATATTAGAAACAAATAACTGCTGAAAACAATGCCAAGAGAATTATTTTAAAGTTTTAATGACTTGAAGTTTACCATTGGATTTGGGAAACTTTCAACCTTGTCAACAATTTTATTAATTTTTTCTAGTATTTACTTTAATCTTCATTTTTTATTAGATGAAGTATTGTCAGCCATTATCAATTTTTGACTAGTATTTACTCTCATTTGCAATTTTTTTAGTTGAAGCATTGAAAACTATAGTTATAAAAAAAAATAAATGAATAATGGTTGATAATGCCCCATCTAATAATTTTTGAATAGGATTTGCTTCATCTCCAGATTTAATAATAATCATTGATTATTCTGCACCTGATTCTTTGAAAAAAATGTTTTTTTTCTCAAAAAAAAACCCAACTCCTTTCTTTTACATTCAACTTTTTTTTTTTTAATCATTTCATCCCAAACAAGGCATTAAAGCCATGAAAATGCAAAGGGTTACGGAGTGCTTGAGAATATGAGGAAAAAAAAATATTGAGGAGGAAAACAATAAAAGAACAAGAATTAAGAAGACAGAAGATAATAATTGACATTACATTTAATTTATCGAAGATCAAAGTTGACTGGAAAGCAAGAATCTGGAAGAGAATTCCACAAGTGAAAAGTGCAAGAAAAGAAACTGTTAGCATAGAACTTATAGTTACATTTAGCCATTTCATCTGTAAAATGATGAGTCCTTACTGCCAATCTAGGATTGCTCTTATATTCATAAAGTCTAGGTACCATAGTGGAAAGTAATATTTATTTTGTTTTAATGCAAAAATGTGGTACAAGGTCAAAAGAGGGATAGAGGAAGGCTGGTCTTTAATCTGTCTTGTCTTAAACTTAGCTAGCTATGGTTACTGACCCAAACATATCACAATATTCCTTACACCAAAACAACACAATCTTATTTACCATTCTTACTACAGTCATCATAATACCTCAGAGTCTCTAGATAGTCCTAAATAGTTTCTATCTGTACAATTTGAGGAAAGTTTATCAGAACAATTACCATGAAAGTATTTATAGAAAAGGCACAGGAAAGATACATTATAGCAGTGGGAAAGTGACTGAAGCCGGGATGTTAGGTCAGGACCAATAATATTGCAGATACTTCTTTGGATTTTATTAAGAATCTCTAAATATATAACAATAGCACCAAACCAGATGTGGCAGCAATATTTAAAGCAGTGATGAATAAAAAGTAGAATTTGAACTGTCAGGATTTGTGAATTTGGATGTGAATCATGAAATTCTTTTGCATGGAAATAATGAATCTGTTCATTCAGGTGCGTGTCTTAGGACTCCTTACATTTCAGGTTTAAAACAGAAATTTAAAACAGAAGATTAACAGTCAAATTTATTAAAAAAAAAATAAAAAATCCTCCTACTATAGCTGCTGTGACATATTGGCTGATTTATCTTGGAGGCTAAACAAGTTTTTCGGTTGCAGGTTCATTTGATCCATTTTTTTTTTTTATGAACAGACTCCCAAGAAGATGCTTCCCCAACTGCCATAATCTTTCACCCTTCAAGTCCAGGGTTAACTGTTATCTATCGTACATATCTTCATATACAATTCTTATGTCCATAAAACAACCCCATTCAACAACACTTTACCTTGAGTGGCTCTTGAGCCTTGTATTGAGTGAACAAAAGCATTTAACACCTTTGTTTTTTTTTTTATGATAGAATGAAATGTCAGGATTTGTCTGTTCTGATGTGAATTCCTTTATATCGGAATAAAGAATCTGTCAATTCAGGTCTTATAAATGAGCAGCAATAAAGTTTTAGAGAAAATGGAGTTGGGGGAAGAACTCTTATACTTAAAAATACTCAGAAAGAGTTGAAATTTCTAGGGAACATAATGAGGAAAGAAGGCTAAGAAAATTTGACATTCACAGGCGATATTGAAAGCAAGAGAAACAGGAAAGCAGTTCATAACCTACCTAACAAATTTTTGTAAATGGTTGATAGAACAGGGATTAGGAGATATTACTAAGAAAAAAACTTTATTAAGAGCTACAATGTACAGGAAATTGTGGAAGGGGCATAATCGTCCATGTCCTGAAGGAAAAAGATTAACAATTGACTTGATTGAAAAAAAAACAAAATGCTGTTTAAATTGTCATATCAGCTGATTTCTTAGATGGAAAATGGCAATTTTTATTTGCATGTTCAAATTACCAATGATTCTGTACACATTTATCAAATAAGTGAATGCAATATATATATATATATATATATATATATATATATATATATATAAAATTTAAAACAGATTTTGTTCAATATTAGTCAAATTTCAGGCTGAAGTTGTTGATAGCCTTACTTTTCCTAAACAGAGTTATGCCCCTTTAAATTCTATCGCTGGCCTCTTTCAGTGCCGTGTTTACTAAGTAGAGATGTTTTTTAAACTGGTGACCATCAGGGAAGATACATTTTCATTTTTTTTTTTTTCAATCCAATGAATTTTACTGAAATTTTCTTGACTAATCAATAAATCTCCATATTTCTTTGTTGAAGAAAATGAAAGACATTGTGTAAATGGTATATCAGCCATTGAAAACAGCAAAACCAGGAGTGAGTAAGAGAGGTTACTGCGATTGAGTTAGGCTTCAGCTGCTTTGGTGTGAGAAATATTGGATGTGAAACGATTAGAAGATGTCAGTAGTTTTCATAAATTTATTTATGATTTTTTATATATGATTTTTTATATATGATTTTCCTCTTCCAGAGTTTCAATTATGCAGATATTCGAAAATTGTGATGTAAGCATATTTGTGCTAATTTTTACTTTTGTTTAATTATTTTCTAAGCCATCCCTTGACTCTAGGGAGCATATATGTAACCCTCATTTGGATCACAAACATTTAGGATGTTTTTATTTTTATTAAAAATATTGAAATCCTTTTTTTATTTATATTTCACATCAAGTAAGGCAATAAAGCCATTAAGACACAAGTGGTTACGGATCAAGAGTATATGAGAAAAAAAAACACTATTAAGGAGAGAGGGAACAATAAAAGAATAGGACTTACAAAGACAAAAGATAATGATTGACACTACATTTAAATTTTTGAAGATCAAAGTTGACAGGGAAGCAAGAAGCCGGAAGAAAGTTACACATGTAAGAAGTGCGAGAGAAGAAACTCTTAGCATAGAACTTACAGCCATTTCAACTGTAAAACAGTTCCTAACAGTGTCATTGTATATAACATGTATATATCAAATATGTATATAACATGTATATATCAATTTCTTCTACATTTTTTTTATTATATTATACGTATATTAAAAATATACAATATTGTCATTTAATGGACAAAATAAGATATATCAAGACCATAGCGTGAACTAGTTTAGCACTTAGAGAATTATTTTTTTTATCATTTCACCCCAAGCAAGGCAATAAAGCCACTAGGACAAAAGGAGTTATTGAGTATTAGAGAATATGAGAAAAACTACTATTAAGGAGATAGGACAATAAAAGAAAAAGTATTAAGAAGAAAGATGATAACAATTGACATTGTATTTAAATTTTTGAAGATCAAAATTGACTGGAGAAACAAAAAGCTGGAAGAGGCTTCCACAAATGGTAAGTGCAAGAGAAGAAAGTGTTAGCATAGAACTTATGGTTACATCTGGCCATTTTTAACTGTAAAATGATGAAACCTTGTCACCAATCTAGTACTGTGCTTAAAATTTTCCACAGCTCAACAGGCATTGAGTTGGATCTGGCCAAGATCCAAAAATAAACAAAGTTATTTAAAACCATGTTTGCAGCACAATGCTATTTTTGATGTGAAACACAACTGTTTACCTTCTATAATTTGTCCTTGATAACAGCTGCTACAAGCACATTGTGTATTAGTTGACAATCAAAAGCAAACACTTTTAACACAATGTTGAAAATCTGACTCGCAGTTGGAAAAAAATCACAAGAGACTGACACATCTACACAAAAAAACAATACCCTATCTGGTGGTAAAAGCTGCTGGTGGTGCCAGGGGTGGCAGTACCACCTTAGCCACTGAATCTTGGTTAGCAGCTGATGAGGGCAGGTTATTGCATGTACTATCACACATTGTATGTAGAAAATTATTCTTTTATGGGTATTAAAGTTTTATATTATTTTTGTTAATGGAAGAGAAACATCTGATACAAAAATTTTTAGTTGTAATATAATTTATTTAAACTTATTTTTGGCTAAAAATAGAAAAACAAGCTTATAAAACTTTTGCCAGTTTTATTTTTTATAAAATCATCTTAGAGTATTTGTCAGCAAATATTATCTCAAGATCACCAAAGTTAAGCAATGATGAGCCTGGTCTGTACGTAGATGGGTAACTGCTTGGAAACACCAGTTACTGTAAGATTGGATGTGCTTGTGGTGTAATGAATAATGGCTCAGGATAAGAAACTGTAGGACCGAGTTCGAATTCCAGTCATGTTTGTTACATTTACTTACATGCAAAAATAGCCTTGAGTGATCATGAGCCCAAAGGAGACTTGATCACCCAAGCTTGTCACACCTGTCCCTGCCAACATGCATTGGGCCAGTGCAGTATGGTAATGGCCCATTCCTCTGCATGAGTCTGGGTGAAGGCCTCTCCTCTCCCCCCACCAAAAAAGGACATTTACAGGCTGAAAAAAAAAAAATATATTTAGGGCTCAATTATAATCAGCCACTTAGAAATCAAGTGTTTATGAGAAGCTGAAAGGTTTTGGAATGTGGTTTGGGCTGTGGAGTTTTCAGCACTATGTTTCCAATTGCAAACAAATGGAGGAACATTTTTCTAACCTGATGTAAATTATACCAGTGAAATTTTAGGAAAAAGGAAATGAAATATTAATTAGTCCTTTTATTAACTACTTTGGTTTGGCTTCTCTCTCTTGGGAAGGTGTGGATCAACTGATAGTCAAGTGCAGAAATTTGGAAATGCAGAGGAACTTCCATCTGAGACAATTTATATTTGCACAGTGCCCTTAGGAAAGGCATGGGTCTATCTCTTTTCTACCCCCAGCTATAGGTTAAATAGCAATGCAGACTATGTTATCTCGTCTTGTTTGGTAACCAGTCTAGGAGATTGGAAAACTAAACTCAAAATTGTGATTTTTTTCCAAGAGTAATCATTGCATTGCACAGTTTATAAATTTGAATGAAAAAAGGAAGATGTGGATGAACATAACCATGTATGTCCATTTATGTTCTTTGTATATTTGTATTTAGCAGTGACATGTGATAGATTGCCAAATATATTTTCTCCAGTACATTGTTTAGAAAACTTGTAAATAAGATCCTTTTTTTTTTTTTTCAACAGCTGAAAAGGTCAAAGTTTCTATGAACGATTTTATTATTAAAGCAGCTGCATTAGCTCTACAGGTGAGTGGCATGTTTTTATCATCAATAGCCATTTGTTTTTGTTGAATTTAAAGTTTTGATTTTAACTTGAAGATGACCTTGAAGATTTTCAGGAATCATCATTCCATGGAGAATTAATTTGGATTTATTTTCAGTTTTTCATTGAACAACATTTTACTACACCATTTTAAAAAAAATATTATAAATAATAAGTAGTTTGCCTGCAGAGAATTTAGCCTCAAACTTGGGATTTTATTATCTCATTCTCTGCTGCATTGTTTGAGCATTTTTTTCAAATCACTTCACTCCAAGCAAGGCAATATTGCCACTAAGACTCAAGGGGCTACTGGGAGTAAAAGAGAATAAAAAAAAAGACTTTAGAAGGAACTGGAAACCCAGTCCTAATCAGGAAACAAGGGATAAACTTCTGCTCCTGTTCAAAAAGGAAGGAGTGTGAACTGGATGATAGACAGTCCTATCTACTCTTATTAAGGAAAATAAATAAAATTTCAGAGTTTAGGTGGAGATGTTAGAAGTATAGAGTTGAAGTAGACTTTAGAAGGAACTGGAAACAAGGAATAAACCTCTACTCCTGTTAAAACAACCTGAGAGGTGTGTGCAAATGCTGATGGCAATTTCTCATGAGCTCTGTTATTTTGTTTTTGATCTGGTAATCTACAGTACAGACTAAGCTAAACAACAACCCCCCCACCCCCAATGCACAAAATAAGAATACCTCATGAAGCAGGCATTATTGGTCACTTGTGTATCGCTACACTGGTGTACAAAGTGCATGTTTAGTTTATAACACATATGCTAGTGACTGACATTTCATTGTGTCTGGAAAGTTTATATACATGTTGATTTGTGTAATTTGACTGTAACAGTAGCAGAGAAATACTGGTTAGGGATTGACTGCATTTACTTTTTAGCATTAAGAAAGTTTAGAGAAAATCCTACATAATATTTACTTTTTTTATTTTTTATTTTACAGTAGTGTTCACTCTGTATAAGGCCTGAGAGCCGCACAAGTTAGAGGGTTACAGAGTAAGAGGTACAGCTTATGCATATATATGTGGAAGATAAAAGTTAACCTTAGATTTGAACAGGTTAAGATTGTAGTGATTGGGGAAGCAACCTCTTGAGAGTCGGTTTCCACAAGGCAGTGGTTCATGTGAAGAAGTTACTTGAGTGGAACTTACATCTTAACCGGGGAATATGAATCTTAGCTGTGAGGGTCAGGACTGGTAGAACTAAAGAGTGTCATTCATCTGAATACTTTCCAAGCGAAATAGTGATAGAACAGTGAGAGACTTGCCATGTTTTTGTCTGTAAGAAAATGGTTACAGTGTGAAAAATAATTTGTACCCCTCCAAGGATGCAGTGATGCTTTTGGACTCTATGTTGTGTGGAAAATGAAGGTTAGGCAATTCCTGCACATATATGGCAGCAGTACTCCAGTTTCGAACTGATGTGACTCTTGTAAAAGTAGTAGATAGCAGGAGGAGTCAGGTACTTGCAGGACCGGTCCAGAGAACCAACCATTTTCCCCATCATCTTTTAGCGGTGGATTGTATGTACGAGTTCCACTTGAGGTCTAAGTCCTAACAGGTGCTGAAGGTACAGGGCCTCTCTGAGGGGGACATCTGTTCATCACGGATGGTGAAAGTTCTGGGTCTGTCAGCAATGGTGGAATGTCACTAGTTTGGGTTTTGAGGCAGTGAATGTGACCAGCCAGTTACACTGAACTGCTAGAGCTAGTTCACAGGAGTGATCAGCTGAGTTTTTCTCTTTACATTTATTGTTAACTAGCAGCATGGCCTGGCGTTGCCCGTGCTTGATTCAAAAATTGTATGACATACAGCAATCACTATCACTTGACTTAAAATATTTTTACCCTTCCTTGCCTATATCACACTGCGAATTTTTTCTAAGCTCTATACTAAACATTAAATCTGTTATGAAAAAAGAACTAAACAAAATGAACACAAAACGATCAGCTTTAAAAAAGGACTTGTAACTGGAAAAACCAAATGAAAAAAGAATGTTAACAACAAATACTTTTTCACACCCAACCCAGTTCTGTGAGATCAGAATCAATGTTGAGTTTAAGCAAGTGAATGAGCCAATTGGAGTAAAGTGCCATGCAGATTTAAATTTTTCCCACTTGTGACGAATGCAGCTATCGATTTTTTTTTTTTTTTTTTTTTTCATGCTAGCATGCTAGTTAACATTCGTGTCAGTCAGCTGTTGGCACTCATGCTGGCCAATAGAATCTTCCTGTCTAATTGTGGCAGCCAGCTATAGGCTCTCACTCTGGCCAGTAGAAAATGTCTGCAAACTACATGAAAACTGCCATAGAAGCATGAAAAAATTGATTATTTTCACTATCGATGGGAGTTGGGAAATGCAAAGTTGGTCTTGGCCTTCTCGCTAACTTGGAGCATGTGCATGTAAATTTTGGTGCAAATCCGTCGAAAGTTGCGGCTGTGCATTCATTACACACACACACACACACACACACACATCCTGCCTTTTATAGATAGAGATATATTTTAGTGTTTTCTTAAACACTAAGAAATATTAACAATTAGAATAATCGTAAAAGGTAATGAAAAACTTGGATGTTTTTTTTTTTTTTTTCTCGCTTTCTCATCTATTGTTTCTTTATTTTTTCATTTTACAAGGCAATAAAGCCTCTAAGACAAGGAATTACTAAGTGTGAAAGAATATGAGAAAAAGAACAACATTATTGACTCTTTGCCTGTCCAGGGCATTTTTTTGTGTACTACCCAAACGTTTATGCTCGTTTTCAGATTTATAACTATTGCAAGGCAACTCAGCTTATTTGGTAAATAGAATGTGTTGATATATAGTGTTTTATATAATAAAAACCTGTACATCACATGTAATGTACAGAACATAGAAATCATAAGTTATTTAAACTCCACTCTTTGCATCACATTTGATGCAAAGGTTATAATCATTTCAATAAAATGGAAAAATAGATGTCTTTCATTTGAATCTTATATTATCAGTCAAACATCCTGTGGTCATATATGATGCACAAAATAGTAGGCCTTTCCTCGGATGTCCTGCTCAGTAGTCGCATCTTAAGTGTCTTTATTTTCACCACTCTTTTAAAATCATGGCTTGTGTGCAACACATGCTGCACAGATGTGGAAATCACATGTCCTGTGCATCCCATATGATGTGCAGGACAGGCAAAGGGTTAAGGAGAGAGAACAAAAAAAGAATAGGAATTAAGAAGGCAAATGATAACAATTGACATTACATTTAAATTTTTGAAGATCAAAGTTAACTGGAAAGCAAGAAGCTGGAAGAGAGTTCCCCAAGCGAGAAATGTGAGAGAAGAAACTGGCAGTGGAATACTTATGGTTGCATCTAGTAATATCAACTATAAAATGATGAGACCTAAATACCAAACTAGCACTAAGATTAAATTTGTAAAGTTGAGGTATCAAAGTGGGAAGCTCATCAGAAGAATTGCTATGAAAGTATTTATAGAAAAGGCACAGGGAAACTAAGTTAGGTTCAAAGTGACTGAAGCTGAGATGCCAGATCAGGACCAATAACATTAAAGATTCTTCTTTGGATTTTATCAAAAATCTCTAAATATATAACAGGAGCATATGTTACAAAGATTTTTAATGTTTGATTTCATTTTAGAGAGTTCCTGAAATGAATGCCACTCTTCAAGGAGATACCCCAGTCCAGTCTGACAGTGTTGATATCTCCATTGCCGTCGCAACACCAAATGGACTTATTACCCCTATCATACAAGATGCTGCCAATTTAGGAGTAGAAGAGATCTCATCCAAAGTTAAGGCAAGAGAAACTTTTTTCTTTTCTTTAATCAGGTTTTATATTTTTGTATTTTTTTTTTAAACATAAATAAACTCACTAAAAAAAAAATCACAAGAAAAATATGCTGAAGAATCTTTGTTATAGTAAAGAATGCAAAATGCTTTTAATGATGTGGATGATTTTATCTTCTCTCATATTGCATTCCCAAATTTGAAACTGAAAAATTGGCCTTTCGTGAAAAAGACTTGTATAATGGTTTATCATTTACAGTCATGCTAATATCATAAGAATAATGAATTTTAATGAAAAATGGTGCATACTTATTACATGTTTGTATTTTATGTTTTTTGTGCTTTTTCTGTTGCTTTCTTTAATTTTTTGCACTTTTTTCTGCTGTTTTTTTTTTTTTTTAATATTTTATGCTTTTTCTGTTGCCTTTATTTTTTTGTGTTTTTTCTGTTGCTTTTATTTTTTTGTGTTTTTTTTGTTGCTTTTATTGTTTTGTAATTTTTCTGTTGCTTTTTATTTTTTTGTGCTTTTTCTGTTGCTTTTTATTTTTTTGTGCTTTTTCTGTTGCTTTTTATTTTTTTGTGCTTTTTTTTTGTGCTTTTTCTGTTGCTTTTTTATTTTTTTGTGCTTTTCTGTTGCTTTTTATTTTTTGTGCTTTTTCTGTTGCTTTTTATTTTTTGTGCTTTTTCTGTTGCTTTTTATTTTTTGTGCTTTTTCTGTTGCTTTTTATTTTTTTGTGCTTTTTCTGTTGCTTTTTATTTTTTTGTTTTTTTTCCTCTTGCTTTTATTTTTTTGTTTTTTTTGTGTTTGTTCTTGGTGTTTTTTTTTTTTTGTGATTTTTTTTTTTTTCAGTTTTATTATTTTTCCTGTTTTTTTCAACACTCTTCAAATCATTACAAATGCCTTAATTTGCAGGAATTCTTCAGGTGATATGGTTTCTGCTATTTGGTAAAGTTCTTTCTGATTCAGTAGCATCAATCCAAGATGTTTGAAGAAGGATGGTTCTTGTTAAGACCTACATGCTTCATTTGCTTGAAGTCATTTTTAATCATAAGGTATCAGCAGTATACAACTGACAGTTTAGATATTTGGCACCATGCATGACATTCAAATGAAAGATGCAATATGCTGATGCTATTTAAGAACATTTTAGGCTAATGTTTTGGCTTTGTAGCAATTTGGCATGTTGTGTGAAACTACTCCTAACCCAATCTATTCTATATTCAATTTCCTTATCTTCTATACTAAATTTGTTATAACTGATCCATACATAAAAACAAGGTCTCATCATTTTACATTTCAAACTACTTCCAGAGCAGCCTATTCCGAGTTCAATTTCCTTATCTTCTATACTAAATTTGTTATAACATATTACATGCATCAAGGTATTTGAAGTTTTTAGTATGTGTTTTTTTTTTTGTTTTTGTGATTTTTTTTTACATTTTAGGAGCTATTTTCTATTTTTTTTTTTTTTTTTTTTCTGATTCTCTCTTTTATTTTTTGTGGGTGTTGATTTTCTTGACTTTTTTATGAACTTTCTTTTGTGGTGTCTCTTTTGCTTCATTTTATTGTGTCTTTTCTCTTTATTTTGTATTTCTTTTTTTTTTTATTTCTTGGTTCTCTCATGTTTTTAAATTGACAAGGAAGCCCTCCTCCACATCAAAAAGTAATTGCTTAATATACTTATCCATTTGTACTTCTATTCTAGTTATTGTTATGTATAATCACCTGTCTATCCAACTAATCAACTCTGGAGTATATCAATGAATTGGAAGCAAATGGGATTTTGTTTCTAAATCCTTGGTGCAAGAAAGACCGACGACAGAGCAGAATATGGGATGGGCTTGTGGGCCATTCTTACAAAGTTAAAACTAGATATTAAACAAATATCAATAATTATATGAAGACTTTTCAAATCATTACAAATATCTTTTCTGGTAGTCATTTTTCTTTCCTTGTGAAAAACAAATGTTTGGAGTGTGCAGTCACAACACTAAGGTTGAATTTTCAGGGTAACAACTGAGACATTACTCTATTTATTGAACAATTTAGTTTATGCCAAATTAACTGATAAACTCCTACAAGAAAAAAAAAGTTCTCAAATTGCCATATTAGTAAAAAAAAAATGCAGTGTCTTAAATTTTCAAAAAATTTAACCTTAGTGTTGCAACTGCATGCTCCAAAAGTTTGTATCTGTTAACAATAACACATTTAAAAAAAAACATATTTCGATTCACATTTAATTTTTTTGTCTCGGATGCTACTTGAATTTTACCAAAAAAAAATAATTTATATGCCTGAAGATGACTGAATGTACAGTTGAGAGTACTTGCGTATTAAAGAAAGACCTTATACAACTTATAATTTTTAAAAACAAGGATCATAACATTCATCGAGTGGTTTGTAGGTTAATGCAACTTTAAAATTTTGTTAGCGAAGTGATTTTGCCATTTTATATCATTAACTTTACTAATCTACTTTTTGTATGAATGATTCATTGTAATATATATATATATATATATATATATATAAATTTTGACCAAAGACAAAGATTTCTCCAAAAACACTATCAAAGTACTGTCAGTATTCACCAACCATTCCTCTTTATCCTGTCATTTTCAGGAATCCTTTTATTTTCATAACTTAGCTGTGATCCAAGTCTTCACCACTTACCCTGTGTAGATGTATACTTCAGTTAGTAGTAAATAATAATATAAATGATTATAGTAATGATAATATTAACGATTTCCTTATAAAGAAACATTCGGCAGCCAATGTTAACATTGATTGAAATTTATAAAATCTTTCTCTCATAACAATTTTTCCATGAAAATAGACTTTTCCAGTCCACTGTTGTTGTTCTTTCTAATAGTGATGGTGGGAAGATTTCTTCCTAAATTTTTATTTTAACATCATCATTATGATTATGTCATTATTTTCTCTTTGAGTTGCATTTGTTATCCATTTTTGTTGTTGCTGATGTTGAAAGTCTTCAAGTGATGCAGTTTCTGCTGTTTGGTAAAGTTCTTTGTGATTCAGTAGCATCAGTCCATGAAGTTTGAAGAAGAATAGTCCTCACTAAGACCTACAGGATTTATTTTTAGTCATTGATCTAATGCAGCAGTATACAGCTGACAGTTGAGATATTTCTGAACAAGTTTGGCACATGACATCAATATGAAAGTCACAATATGACAAGGCTATTTAAAAACATCTTAGGTTAATGTTTTTGCATTGTAGCAATTTGTGATGTTGGGCAAAACTACGAGCACAGCCTCTTCTATGTTAAATTTCTTGATATGAAATTTGTTATAACTGAACCACATGCTGAGGTCTTTGAAGTATTTAGTATTTACTAATGATGCATTCAGGCTAAGTGCCATCACTGCTTTCATTTCAATTCTAGATCATAGTTTCTGTTTTGGAAAGGTTTATTTTGACTCCTATTGACAAGGTTTATTAAAAGAATAATTCTCTCTGAGTATGTGTGTGTGTACACACACACACGTGTTTTTGTGTGTGTGTGTGTGTGTATATATATATATATATATATATATATATATATATATATATATATATATATATATGTATATAAAAATTGTCAGACTTTGTCCAATTCTTAATGTGTGTGTATATATATATATATATATATATATATATATATGTGTATTGGGCAGCAGATCATTATTCAAACATATATTGTTAAATATAACAGACAATGAATATCCATTATGTTTGATCATGGGTCGTTCTGAACTTCGTACAAAACACCCCTTGATAGGGGAAACGCTTTTACATAAGTTACAATGACTGATCATATATACTTGTATATTGATTGGTCTATCAAGGGCTGTTTTGTTGATTTGAACCTTTTAAAACTCTTTATTCTACATTCAACACCATCACTTGATAAGACACCAAAAGTGTTGAAGCAAAATGGCTATTTTTGTAGTGATTTTATAACATGTTTATGTTATGATTTTCAAATAAATTATATATAATATATATATATGATAATATTTTTATAACTTAGATATTAATGTGACATTTGATGTGAATTATATATGCAGCCAAGTATTTCTGTTTTGCATAGGGATGCATTTAAGTGTTTTTCTAGGGAAATTGTTAATCTACAGAGAGGTTCTAACTATTTATAGTTATTAAATATATTTAACTTTTACAAATGTTTGTAAAGAATTTGCTGCTATCAAGCATTATAATGACAAAGATTGCTTGCTTTAAAAAATGCTATCTTCCAAATTTACCCTGGTTAACCATTTTTTTGGCAAAATACAATCTTTGTTATTGTTTTTTTATATATGAATGCTAAAAAATTCATTGAAACAAGTTTTCATAAATTAAACAATGTCTAATTTTATCTTGTGTTTTCCCAATTTTCAAATAAGTTGTTTTACATCAGGATCAAAATTGTGGGTAAACTGTCCAAAATTCATGTTTTTAATTCTGTTTTTGTTCAAGTACTTCCATCTGTTTTTGTCCTTATCAAAAACTGACAAGTGATGAGGCACTCAATTCCATATGGAATTGAGCATCTTGTCACTTTTACCGCTTCAGAATTGTGAGGCAACCATGTAACTATCTAGGTATTTACATGAAACTTTAAGTTGTGGAAAGGTAGTAATATCTGACTATTGTTTTTCTTATATTTATTATATATATATAATCCATATAATACACATAATATATATGTTATATATATATATATATATATATATATATATATATATAAGATTGTACATTGAATGCTGGTGTTAATAAAATAGTGCTTGTTGTAATATAATAGACCTATGAATTAAATATTAATAAATATACATTTTTTTTTCTTCACTGGTAGCACAACTCAGTTTCATGCACAATGCAATTTTCAGGTGCTGAGTTAACACTGGCCATTACATAATTAAAATTTTGTTAAATACATTTGGTTATCACAATGATGAGGAAGTCCATATTTTGTATTTTATTTTTTTTAAATAAATGTAACTGAAAACAACCCACATGTTTTATTTACTTCAAATTATAGAAGTAGATATAAAATATAAATATTCACATCTAAATATTTCAAAAACAAAAAAACAAAACATGTATACACACATGTACCTACACACACACACACACACACACACATATATTTTGTAACCTAGGAAAAGTTATTCACATTTATTGGCAATAATTCGTTGCTACTTATCAGACAGCTCTTCGATATCTTTTGAATAAAGTTTGGCAGGTTTTGACAAAGTATTTTGCAGTGATCAGTAAAGGTAACAAGCAAGTTTGTTGTAACCTAGGGAACATGAATAGAATAATCACATGAAGGTTGGTAATGAACAATAATACTTAGGATAAGAACAACACATATAAGATTTGCCAGCAGCACGTGGAAGTAGTAGTCAGCTGCTAGAAGTGAGTCAAGTAAATTCCACAATGAATCTCCAACTGCAGACCAACATACAGTATTTACTACTGTATTTATGTGAATGGGGACATACCCATTATTGTCCGTAGGTAAGCTACAACAACAATATATATCTATATATATATAAAAAAACAAATGTATACACATAATTAGATATAAACTATTGAAGTTGTGTTAGCTAAAATTCACTTTTCACTAAAAAAAAGAAAAATTAAAAACACATACACATCAACACAAATTACATACTTAGAGTTAGAAAGGTAGAACTATAAATTAAAACATAGGCACCTATGGGGAATTATGATAAAGCTGTGCTGCCAGTGAAGAAATATATATATATATATATATATATATAATGTTTTGAACAATGAAAAAATGTTAAAAAATTACAACTTCAGACGCACTAGGTTGTATGTTAATATTTTTTGTTTATTATTTGAATTAGGTTACTTGACTAGTTTCGTTACAATGGCCATCATCAAGAGAAAAAAATTCC